TATATGCAGGAATAATGAAGTTAATTTCAATACCTTTTCAAGACTTTTTCAAGACCTTCCAAAATAAATTCAAGACCTTATCGTCACTTTGTTTTATTAAGCAACAAATCTTTGATTTACAAAACTGCTGTTGTTTTCAATTAAATCCGTGAATCTCAAACCTACAACAGAACTGAGATACAGTGGATAGAAAAAAATTCAAAAGAAGAAACTGAACCACGACTAGGTTTAAGAAAATATAGCTTAGGTTACAACAAGACTCGTAGTTATTTTAAAGTAACTTGGTTGAACAATGGCGAATAAGAAATAAACACAGTAATCATTACATGTGCCTCAGTGCAGTTGCTTTGCATTCCAGCAACTCTTCAGTTTGCACCAGCTCACTGAGTTTTTCTTTACGTCTCCTTCTCAAGACATTGGACTTGGTGATCAGTTGGGCCATTAAAGAACCTGACTTTCCCTCTGCCTGCTCTGCCAACTGATCTGCATCTTTTTGCAGAGAATCGCACACCTCTTGTAGAAGTTTTCTCTTTTTTTTCAGCTCTTCTAACTCAGCTCCAGCTGCTTTCCTCTTAAGGCTCTGTGTGGAAGTTTCTTTCTTCTTTCGTTGCTGTTCCAGGTAAATCCTGTACTTTGACCTTGCAGAGGCAACAGAAGCCAGCAGCTCCTTGGTCAGAGGTACCTGCAGAACACCCCCACAGACACTGACCTTGTCGCAGATCAACCTCAGAGCCTCCATCGTCTCTTCGTGTATGTTGCAGGTTTCGACCTGCTTGTTAACTGAGAATCCACGCTCCACTGTGGCCTGTCCATGGGAGAGTTTGGCAACACATTCCTGTGACAACAGTATGGATTTGATATTTAATTTTTAGACACACAGGTGTTCAAATCAAGTTATGTATGTAAATATCACACACACACACACACACACACACAATTCTTCATTGATTTAAAGGAATATTCTATTTGAGTACTTTTCATATATAAAAATGTACTGTAATATGCTTTATTTAATATCAACATACACAAAGAAAAGATTAAATAGTAGTAAACAAAAAGATTCACTTACTTTGATGTGATGCAACAAGTCCTCCGCTGTTCCATGTCCCAGGAATTGAGAGCCCAGATACCTGGATTGAACGCAGTCTTCATTCCAAAAACGAATGTGCACATCGAGCTGTTTCTTTTTAGTTGACTGGTTCAGACTCGTCAAACATCAACACAAATGGGCCAGCTTTGTTAATACTGTCAACGAGCTCCTGCTTAAAAAAATGTGCAAGCCCGAATCGCAAGCTGTAACCCGTTTTGTCCTTGCCACAAGTGAATGTTCTGGCTATATCCGAATCTGGAAACATTGATTTAAAAATGTCCGATATGCCTTCGTTGGAATTTAGAGAATGGTGATTCACCGCAGTGTGGAGACACCAGATCACCTCTGCACGCAGTGTTGGTGTGCTGCCCATGGTCACCATGATGTCGGCAGACGGAGAGGCAGAAGACAGTGTCAAGGGAGCTTTGGTTGGTTCAGGCACACGGTTAGCTGGAAGCGCTGTCGCTGGTGGAGCACAGAAACTGCTGATAGACATCTGCGTTTTGCGGCTAGCTGCACTTTTGTGGCTAGCTCCAGTCATATGGGACTTCAAGGCGTTTATGCCCATCGAGGCTACGCTCATCTTTTTTTACAAAATGTACAATAAGCCTCGCGGTTATTCTCGGCGACAGGCCTCAGCCATTCTTGAAAATCAGGCATCTCCAACCAGGAGTCCGAAAACTTGCATTTACCCATTGTTCTCACGGTCTCGCGGCAACTTACTCGAACACACAGACCCAAAGCAGCCGCGCATGCGCACAAGATAGGCCTAGCCGTTAAGGCTGTTGTAACCTGACACTCTAAATTTGTGCGAAGCAGTTTCCGAATCCTCCGCGGTGAGGAAAACAAATATTAGTCATACATACTTTTTGCTGTCAAATTATTTAAAGCTAGAATAACAGCAAAAAAAAATAATACCTCATCAAATCGCTTTCAAGACTTTTTAATACTTTTCAAGACCCTTAATTTTCCCAAATTTGATTTATCAACTTTTAATAACTTTCAAGACCCCGCGGACACTCTGGCAAATCAATGTGTACATGTTTTGATGTTAAATTTTGATTCTGTTAAATAAATGACCGCATTTATTCTGATCGGTCAAAGATAAAATGGCGTCTCATGTCACTGATTAAACAATCCACTCACGGTTATCTCGGTCACATGGCAGAAATTTAACTCGAAAAAGAAAGAATCCGTTGTAATTATACAATTAATATTCTTTGTGCTTGAACTAGCTTTAAGAATAATTAATTAGTCGTGTGTCTACAGCAAAGCTGTCCTGACATACTACAATGAGAATGATTCAGAAACATTCAGACAATAGTGATCAGAGACTAAAACACAATATTTAAGAAAGCACCCACACACACACATTAAAATACAGGAAATGGGTATACAAAGAAACAGCTAAAACATACACCTTTCTAACACTACCTTTCAAGACAGGACTTTAAGCTCTTAAAATAAAAATAGACAAAAGTAAAGTTCAGATAAATATTTTATGAACTGGTAAATAAGTTGTTTTTAAGATAAAGGTAAAGCCTTCCTAACTTTCCCTGGATCTTTATATTTAGTGCTATGGTTGATATTCTCACTCATAAATGTTCCTAAATTATTTTATTTAGAAATACAGACAGACACCTCCACCCTCTTCATTTCACACCTCCACCCTCTTCATTTCAATTCCACACATTTAGGGTTGTTTGGGCTCGGGTGTGCTGCAACAATTTTACATCTCTGTTGACCATAGCCACCTGGGACTCAATTTTATTGTACACCTTAGACATTCACTCATAACATCCTCATGACATTCACATATAGGAACTTGAGGTGGGCACTATGGCTATGGGTGGTGGGATGACTTTACTCTTGCCCCCTGTGCCTGTGCTCACTTACAATGGTTGCATTTAGACACTAGGGTTTGGATAGAGTTGGGGTGGCGGGGAAACTGGCATCATGCCAGTCTTTGCTCCTTCTTCTTTCCTTTTTAATGGCACTATACAACAACACACATCAACAGCACATCTAGGGGCGGGGGTGTATGTGTCGGGGTCTTATTCTCTTTTTTTTTTTTTCTTCACCCCCCTGGTTCCCTAACTGCCATTCCGGGGGTGGGGTCCGGGAGAAGGGCAGGCCGTCGGGTGTTGACCAGGACTATGTGGAGGTTCGGGGTCTGGGGGATTGCAGTGGGCGGTGCTGGCGCTGTGCTCTCCCTGGGATTGTTTGGACCCCCTGAGCTTGGCTCTTGGGTGCCATGGTTGGCCCGCTGGCCGGGGTGGCTGCCGGGGCCTGGCGGGCGGTCGGCTGGAGGCGCGTGCTTGGTTGTTGGCGGTGTGTGGGGGTGGTCGGTGGCGTGACCTCTTCGTGCCGGGGGGTGTCCTGTCGGCTGGGCGTGGCCTGGGCCGGGTCTGAGATATTGGCTCCTCTCCGCTCGAGAATGAATGGGTCGACCTCCTGGGTTTGGGCATGGGCTGCCCCCTGTAGAGGGTGGGTACATGTCTTGGACCTGGGGGGTATAGAGTGCGTATCGGGAACAAGAATGAAATGTATCGTTATTGTATGTCTTTGAGTGAGTGAGTGTGAGAATGAGGCTGGGACTGTGTGATTGTGTCTGTGTATGAATGGGTATTTGTTAGGCCGAGACTCGGACTGCCCCCTCTTTGAAACAACTGGGGGTGCTTGGCATTGCGCCCCTATCGCGCGGCCCCCTGGTGGGGTGTGCCCTTGCCTGCCGGCGCGCTTGGGGCCCTTGGTGTCGGGGGCTGGGCGCTTGGGCGTGTGTCGGCTCGGCCTGGTGTCTGCCTGGTGGGGCTCGGGTCCTCTGGCCCTGTCAGGCCTTGGCCTGGGTGGTGTGCGTCCTCTGTGCCCGGGCCTCGGGGCCCGGGCCTGGAACTGCATCGGTGCAGCGGGTTCCGGCGGGGGCCTATGAGTTTGTCGCTGTTGGCCCCGGGGGGTCACTGCATGTGGTCGCTGGTGGGGATCTTCCGGTTCTCCCCTGTGGTCCGATCTGGGGGGTGGGTGAGTGGTTCATCCTGTGTGGGTGGCCCTGGGGGCTCCGCGGTCGGGGTCCCTCCTGGGGTCTTGGGCTCTGGTCCCCCCTTTTTTGTCTGCCTCTGGTCTTGGGGGTCGGGTCTCTGCTGCTTCACGGTTACTATTAAATGTTCTATTAGAGAAGCCTTATACACTTATGCATGCTCACAACCACACACAAATAGATGCAGGGATGCTTATGTAGGCTTTATATGTAGATATATAGATATTTAGATATGTATATGAATGTATATTCATGTGTATGTATGTATGTATATAGGCGTAGGTATGGGTAAATATATTTATGGAAACTTACTGCAAAGCCATGAATATTTTAAGTTCTTTATACATATGTATTTTGTTGCTGTGTTTTGTCATGTTCTTTGCAGGTGAACAGACAGTGGCCGGGTGTTTTGCCGTGTGCTCTCTTTGTGTATATTTCTTATATTTTAGAGTCTTACTTTGTCTTTTCTTTCTTTCTATCCTATTAAAAAAAAAAAACTACACTAGATAATCACTAGAATAAATATTTCATAATAATGGTGTGGAGAGGATGGCTGTTAGGGGAGAAGGGAGGCCATCTAAGAAAAAAAAAAGAAATACAGACAGTGCAGTTGTGTTATTGCTGTTAGAAAAAAACATGTCATGGATTATATTTTTGTTGAAACCCCCAAATAAAACAGTTGTTTGACACATACCATCTGCTGCAGGCAACAACTTGCAGATTTATAATGGAGTCAGTGCTCCACATGTTCATCTGAACCAGTTTTTGTATTTCAGCAAATTAAATCTGTTCCAAGTTAGAGTTTGCTTTGCCCAGTGACATCTTGTTAGGGAAGATTTCATATCATTGTGTTTTCTTTGGCCCCTCTCTCTTCAGTATTTGGAAAACTTTCTCCAAAGAGGCCCTCGGGGTTACAGTGAATATTGTACGAAGCGCCTGCGACGTGTTATCGCTAACGGAGAGAGAAAAGAGCTGCCCTGCTGTATCGAACTGCAGGTACAAACTATGCTGTGACATGATGCCGATCGCTCTAATTAGCTGCAGGACATCCGTTAATTAATTTTTTTTTCATCCTCCCCGACCCCTGCAGGCTGCCATCAAGAAGGCGCCCATCGATGTGTCCGTGATGCTCGTGAACAATAAGTCTGTCATGGTTCATTTAGATTCAGCCTCCACCTCAGCTGAGGTCTGTCAGGCTGTGGCGGACGAGATCGGACTCAAAGACGTCTACGGATTCTCCCTGTACATCACTCTCTACGAGAAGGTGGGGACACCTCTCTGTCGGGTCAGCCTGCATTCACTCAGAGACTTTTTTGAGCCTGTCCGTGTCATTGTGTGTGCAGATGTGGTCTCTGAGCAGCTGTGGGAAACACGTGATGGATGCGGTGTCTCAGTGCGAGCAGGAGATGAGGAGACAGGACATGGAGGAGAAGGACAGCCCCTGGAGCCTCTCCATCCGCAAGGAAATATTCGCCCCGTGGCACAACTGCTCGCTGGACGCCGTCAGCACAGAGCTCATCTACAGGCAGCTCATCAAGGGAATCAAGTCTGGAGAGTACACCAGTGAGAAGGTGAGGCTCCCCAAAAACACACTGCTGTTTGATTATTCTTTACATACAAAGACTTGCACTACTCTTAAAAGAAAAGGTTTATAAAAACAATCTGAGTTGACTTACTGGGGATTATTTTGTTGTTTTACCCTCTTGAGCTACAGTATAGATGTTTGACCAGCATTTGTGCATTTGTGAAATGTTACACTCAGAATAAAAATTAAAAAATAAAGCTGGCAATAAATACTCCCTCCAGTTTTTATAAAAGTTCCTCATAAACAGTTTTATATCAGGTTTTCTATCAAATTGATAAAACTTTCACTGAAGCAAATATTTCTTTAGTTTTCCTGCTGGACCTGCTGTGTTTGTGGACTTTTTTTTATCCAGCTTGTTCATTAAAATAAAATAATCCAATACAAGCAAAGCAAAGAAAACATCCTTCCATCCTTCCATCCATCCATCCATCCAATATCTTTACCCGCGTCTTCCTTTTTGGGTCGCGGAGGTCATTGCTGCCCATATCCAGCAGTCACTGTGTGAGAGATGGGGGACATCCTGGACAGGTCTCCAGTCCATCACAGGGACACATATGCCCCTTTTCCATTGTTACAGTGCGGATCAGGTAAATTCGGGTCAGCTCAGATCAGCTCTTGTGTCGTTGTGTTTCCATTTACACTTCTGGAACGGTTCTGTAGGCGGGGTCCAGAATCCAACTCGTCTTACCACCTGGTGGCGGTAGTGCTCTCTTAACCTATTTACTAGCCACCACTAAACATATTAGAAGAAGAACACCCTGAAGACTTTACCACAGGACGTTGTGGAAGAGATGTCATGCTCTAATGGAGTACCTCATGAGCTGTAACTTTTAAACCTGATTCATAATCCTACCTTACTGCCTTATTGCCTATGGGTTATTAAACCCATGTGTTTTCCATTTTAGTATAGATTTTATAATAAAGATGTATTAAAAATATCTTCACTTTTATTATTTACAAACATGCACAAGGTTCATGTTAAAATTGCAAAACATCACACTGTGCTGTAATCTTTGAAACTGCTTTTACAATAAGATACAGACTTGAAAACAATTAGGCTAAATTTGTCCTTAAATTTTAAAGGTTTGTCTTTCATTAAAATTAAAAACACAAAAGTATTACTTATTAATCTAAAAAAGTTAAGTCTGGTCCTCTGGACATTCAAAAAACAGAACAAAAAAACATTTCTTGTTTATTTGTTTATTGTTTTATTGTTTATATGTTTATTTATTATAAAATTTATTGTTTGTTTTGTTTTGTGAATGCCCAGAGGACCAGACTTAACGTTTTTTTTATTTTCCTACCTGGATTATTGAGCATGCATCAGGATATTACTTATTCAATAGTCAGTTGGTCTGCAAACGCTTTGGGGTCTTCCTAGAAGAGTTGAAGAGGTGGCTGTTGATGTATATGCCTCCCTGGTAAAGCTGCTGCCCCCGCGACCCGGAAGCAGAAGATGATGGTTGGATGGATGGATGGCGAAGGAGGAGACCATCAAACACAGCAGGAGTGGTCAGTTCAGGTGAACTCCTGCCTGTTTGCTTCAGATCAGCTGTTGAAATCTCTGCAGGTTCAAATAAAAGGTGCACCAGGACTTTCAGCTGAATCTCTCAGGGGTCACAGTTGTTCGGTTGATAACTGTTAACGGTCCTTTCTGAATTTTTGACCGTTTTTGTCTGACTTCATCCTAGAACCAAAAAATTTATAACATAATAACAGTTGAGCAGATTCAGTTAATCTTTTCTTAGGATTCATCAAAGATCAAATACAAATGGAAAATTTGGTTAAAATCTGTCCTTAAATGTTAAAGGTTTGTGTTTCGTTAAATTTAAAAACATAAAAGTACTACATACTAATTACTATACATTTATCTATCTAATTATAGATACATAATATACATATTTTTTTTTAATTGCTAACCATCTCTAAAATACAATCGGTCAAAATTTAAATGTTTTGATAGAAGTACAGTGAAGAAAAAAGTACAGTGATGAACTTTTAAGCAATTATTTGTCTGACTTTACCCTGGAAACAAAAAAATATATAATTTTATAACAGGTGAGCAGATTCTAGTAATCTTTTTCTTACAATTCATTAAAGGTCAAATGCAAATGGAAATTTTTCTTAACTTCCAGTATGAATTTAAACAAACACTATACGCACTTAACATTGTAAAATTTGTTTAGGAAATTTAATGTTCTAGGACAACACAAGAAAAAAAAAGTTTAATAGGAAAAGTAACAAGTGAAAAATGTACAAAAATAAAAAATAGTGCATCCAACTGATGATTATCTATCTGTCTATCCCTTGCCTCACGGGCTTCATCCAGAAGAAGACACAAGTATTGTTCCTGCTGTGTCCGATTCAGTTCTTCATGTTCATCCAGTGCCGAAATAAGACTTTTATTTACTGGACTCTTTTCTCTTTCTCTTGCCTAGAAAGAACAAAACAGTGGTTAATTCAAGCTACATACTGTTTTTGAATAAATGCATAAAACAAAGAAAAGTGCTTCTAAAAGCTATAATAGCTATATTAATAATAATAAACTGATAAAATAAGAAAATGAAAATTAAACTGATTTAAAAATAGTGAAAATAATATATATATATATATATATATATATATATATATATATATATATATATATAATTAACAAACTTTTAGAAACCTGTGATATACTGTGTGTGCAGGAGACTTTTCTGTCTAGACAAGACTTGGAAAGGTTAAACTCTGTTCAAAAAGACTTCTATGGAGCAGGGGAATCCACCACTGACTGTTGTGATAGGATACTCCGTGGCAGAATCCCTGGTGGTGTTGCGGTGCTTTGGCATAAGAAGCTTGACCAGCAAATTAAAATGGTCAGGCTGAATGTTGACTGGGCAATAGGTGGGATAAAACATTCACCATACTGAACATGTATACTCCTTATGAGTGCTCCAAGAATGAATTTGAGTATTTAAACAGGCTGGCCTATATTATGGCGTACATACAGGAACATGCAATAAGCAGCATTTTCATTGTGGGTGATTTGAATGCTGATCTCTCAGACCAAAGGTCTACTTTTGCAAACCATTTACAGCATTTCTGCTCAGATAACGGTCTCTCTCTCTCCAGTTAATTACTTCTGTTAAGGGACAGCTACACTCTGCACCCTTAGAGCAGAGCAGAGGAGATTACTGAACTATAGCAGAAACATTATCATGATATTTTAATGTTGTTAAAAGTAATGCATTTATTGTTGGAAATATTGATAGTAATGAAAATGTGGTTGTGTCCCCACAAGAAGTCTTTGAGATTGTAATGAAGCTGGATAAGAACAAGGCATGTGGGTCAGAGAGGGTATCTGCTGAACATCTAAAATATGCAAGCAGGAAACTGTACCCTCTGCTTGCTATATGTTTTACAGGCTTTCTTATTCATGGAGTGTTACCTGACAAATTATTGTCTGTCATTTTAGTTCCTTTTGTGAAGGATAAAGCTGGTAAAGGATAATTATACGCCTATAGCTCTGGCCAGCACCTTGTCTAAGGTACTGGAGAGGGCTGTTTTGAACAAACTGGAAAGATTTTTGCTGACCTCTGATAATCAGTTTGGTTTTAAACATAAACATGGAACAGACTTGTGCATTTTTGCTTTAAAAAATTTTTTAGATCAATAAAACAGTCACAACACCTCCATTTTTATGTGTTTTATTGATGCCTCAAAGGCCTTTGATTATGTAAACCATGAAAAGTTGTTTCACAAGTTGTATAACAGAGGTGTCCCCAAATTTTAGTGAGGATTCTTGTTTTTTGGTATGCTAATCAGCACATGTATGTAAAATGGGGAAACTCAGTATCAGATCTAAAAAAAGTTAAATCTGGTCCTCTGGCCATTCAAAAAAAAAAAAACCCAAAGCAAATCAACAAAAAAACAAAAAAACAAAAAAAATGTAGAACCATCGTTCCTCTCTGTCCAGGAACGATGGTTTGCGAGAGGAGTAAAGGAGGCCATCTTTGTGAAAAGAAATCGTCCATCGTTAAACAGGGGTGGAGGCCTCCGGGTTCAACTGTCCCCCTCTTACAATGCTGTGATTGCTAGTATCACTCAGCCCTTTGTGAACAGTAAACAGCCATCAGTGTGCTAATGATCCATTGTTAGGCTGATGGTCCTTCTTGAGCATGTGATCAGCTGGTTTTGGTTGTCAGCAGCAAAACTGGTTGATCCACTCTGAGACGGTGCTATTTAAGAGACTGAGCTGAATACAGCTCCTCAGACTGAGGAAGTCTCTCGGATGAGAGAAGAAACGTTTCTACATTTTTTTTGTTGTGTTTTTGTTGATTTGCTTTGTTTTTTTGTTTTTTTTGAATGTCCAGAGGACCAGATTTAACTTTTTTAGATTTTTCTACCTGGATTATTGAGCATGCATCAGGATATCTGTATCAGATCCCTTCAGAGTTTCAAATGGTGTGAGACAGGGTAGCATCCTGTCTCCCGTTTTATTTAATGTGTACATGGACGATCTGTCAAAGCTCTTAAATGACTGGAACATGCTGTAGGGATGGTAACAGGATCATCAACCATTTAATGTATGCTGATGATTTAGTGATTTTTTTGTCTTTATACTGCTGGCCTGCAAGAGCTGTTGCAGGTGTGCTCTGGTTATGGAAGAGACTTTGATATAAAATACAATTCTAAGAAAAGCAGCATCATGATTGTGTGGAGCAGAGAAGACTCCGAGTTGATGTTCCCTGATTTCTTTCTGTCGGGCAACAGGCTGAAAATCAGTAAAGAATGTAAATACTTGGGGCACTATGTGACTGCAGACCTGTCTGATGATAGAGATATTTACAGACAATGTCGTATGCTCTACGGAACAGCTAACATGCTGATACGTAAGTTTGGTCTGTGCTCAAAATCAATTAAGATCCAACTGTTTAAGGCCTACTGCACTCCTATGTATACCGCTCACCTGTGGAGACGTTACAAAAGGAGCAGTATGTATAG